ATAATGTATTATATCATGATACATGTTAAAATGCTCATTAAAGCATGCAAAGCACTGTATTGCGTGGGTGCCACCTGTTTTGCTGTCCGCCCACGTGAATTGTATGAAGGATGGCGCGGCGGGTCCTTTCTCCTCATCAGGGAGGGACAGCTGGGTAATCTGGGTCCCGATCCATAAGCCCAGGCCACCACCAAATTTATAATAGTGGCAGGACAATGAGAACACACTCGCACAATCAGCCCTCTTCCCAATATCATCTCAATATTATCCATCGGCCTGTGAGTGTAATGGGCCAGGATCTATTTTGTTTAGAATATAGTTTAACTTGGAACCCTCAAAGGAGTAAATTATCCTCAAAAACCCAAAAATTGAGGGATAAGAAGAAAAAAACAGTGTTGATGTCTTAAAGAATTTTTTTTCCACAAATGAAGATTGATTGATCATTCAACTCCAGCTTTTTACCTTGCCCTTATCTGTAGTTGATGCCCAACCGAGAGCTAAATCAGTTATTCATTTAGTCAGGCACCATTATATATGTTTTTAAGAGTTTTTTTTAATCAACTTGAAAATTATCCAAGTTAGCAAAACAGGGGATCATAATTGCAGAAATATGACAGATTTTTAAGTCTTGTTTGCGAGATAGTCAAAGCAAGAGAGACCAAAGCACACAAAAGTATTTTTCTTAAATATTTCTTAAATAATTAAGAAAGTATTTTATTTATTATTTAATTTAAGTTTGAATGTATTTAATATTATATTTTTCATAATTTATTACTATTACTTAATTATGATAGCACACTACTAACAAATTGTTTGTACTGCATGCTCACTGTATTAATAAATTAATACATATATTTTTGATGATTTTTCATCCTTGGCTAGGATTATTGTAAAAGTATTACTAAATATCTGCACTTTAAATAATCATAACTTTATATATAGCACAGTATTATTGCACCACCAAGTTGATGCCACATCGAGAGCTAAATCAGTTATTCATTCAGTCAGGCAACATTATGCACTTATTTTTATTTAAAATATTATGCAGATTAGCAAAACGGGGATAATAAATTCAGAAATATGACAGATTTTTAAGTCTGGTTTACAAGGTACAATCAAAGCAAGAGAGATTAAAGCATACGTTAACGCAAAAACAATTTTTTATAAATATATATAAATATATATTTTTTTTTTTCAATATCATAATGTCTTTTTTAGCATTATAGCACACTACTAACAACTTGTTACCTATACCCTGCTTGCACTGCATGCCCACTGTATTAATGTATTTATACATTTATTTTTGATGGTTTAACATTCTCAGATGGGATTATTGTCAAAGTATTGAGAAAAATCAGTACTAGAAATAATCTTAGCTTTATATATATAGCACAGTGTTATTGTACCATATTGTGGTCTTTAATCCCTGGACACCAGAAGTTCTCATTGCTGACACAGCATTAGCAGTGCTAAACTAGCGTAGTCAGAGCACCGTGTCTCTATGCAGGAAGGAATATTACTTTTGTGTTATAAATTAGGGACTCTCTGACATAGCACAGAGTGGGACAAATTAGTTGCAGTTTTCTGCCGCAAATTCAAGAATGTTGTCACGATTTGGGTTTTTTTGGTTCGTGAACACATTTCGACAAGTTTGTTTTCACCGTCCCTGGCTGCTTCGGACTGTCTGCTGCAATGTGTTGGCGTCAGTGGCAATGTCTTGTTCTTCGGCTTCCTCCTCACGGCCTTTTGAATGTCCCGACACCCCCCTCCAAGTCCAGCCCCACTGCCGCGCCGCCCCCACCCCTCCAGCCGCCCATGCCTGGGGAGAGCGGAGCAGGAAAGAGCCCATAGCTCCTGCTGCAAGGGCCTTATCTGAACACTGCACACAGTTCAGGGAACGCATCCTTTTCCTGGGGCCTCTCATCTGCCAGGAGGAGAGAAAGAACGAAGGGAATGTGGAGGCAGAAGAAGCCAGAGAGCGTCTGAGAACATTCAGGGGACATTTTTGTTGTGTTTACACCCTCTTTAGGACATCCAAGCACAGTCATGAAACCTGGACCTGCGTTATCTCCGTGTCAGCCTTCCTGCTCACTTGTTTGTTTGTGTACGCGTGCACGTATGTGCTTGCATGTGTGTGGTATAACCCAATCCGTGCTCAGCACTGTTGAGGGAATGCTACCAGCAGCACTTCTCTCGGCACATTAGAGAGATAAGCCTAATAGAGGTCCCCAGGCGGTGAGACATCGCACCACACACACACTATCACCACCTCTCCGATGAAGAGGATTTCCCACTCGCTCCATCTCTCTTCCTCTTCTTCTCGTTCTTTCTCTCCAGAGAGTAATTTCACAGTGTGCTCCAAAATGCCCCCCAGTTGTTTCTCTTAAGTCCCTGCTCTAAGTCAGACGCATCTCTTCTGAAGACACCACCCCCTCCCCCCAAAACCAGAAATATAGATTTTCTTTTATTTGGAGGGAAAAGTGAGACTTCTGTTTTAATGAGCCTACATCTGCAGTTCTCCAGTCTCCTTCTGGGCGACTTCCAACTTTTGAGGGACCTGTGGCAGCAACTTGTAGTCACAATGACCATCTAGAACAGTAGTTACCAAAGCTGGTCCTGGTTTACCACCAGCTCTGCATTAAAGCCTATCTGAATGATCCCATTAGCTTGTTGGTAGAGATTTCAAGACCTGAAATGGGAGTTACAGATACAAATGTCCACTGGACCAGGGTTGGGAACCATTGATCTAGAACAGTGGTTCTCAAAAAGATAATCCACCCAAAAATGAAAAATCTGCCAGTAATTACTCATATCATTTACTCATGCTCCTGTCATTCCATTTCATTTTTCTGCTGAACGCAAAAGAAGGTATTTTGAAGAATGTTGGTGACCAAACAATTTTGGCATTTGTCCATACTGTGAAAGCCAATGGGTCACAACACCATTTAGTTACCAACATTCTTCAGAATACCCTCATTTGTGTTACACGGAAGAAAGTAAGTCATACAGGTTTGGAACAACATGAGGGTGAGCCAATGATGACAGATTTTTCATTTTTGGGTGGACTATCCCTTCAACTTGTTTTGCTTGGATGTGTGTATTTAACCGTTCAAGGACTATAAAGTGGCAAAAATAACTCAGTTCAATACTCGCGCGCTCTATGAGCGCCTCTCTGACAGAGCTCTCAGACAGTGCGCACATATACCGAAATGAGTTCTCTTTTGCTGCTGATTGCATTTCAACGGCTTAAAATCAATTGCTTTTAAACCCCCAATGCTTAAAAATGTGTTCAAACGATAAGTTTTCGTGACCATGTAGCATAGCAATGTCACGTGATTGTATCCGCGATAGAGACGATAGTTCAAAATCTCTACTGGTTGACAAATTTTTACCGGTTAACCGTGCTTACCGGTATATCGCCCACCCCTAACTACTAGTAATAATATTGTTTTATATTAAAATGTTGTTTTATTGTAAATTTTTTGTTCAGCTCTTTTTCACTATTTATATGTAGAATGCTTTTAACATCTTCAGCATTGTAAGTCTTCATATGTATTTTGTTGTTTCTTGGCTGTACAAAACCTTTTTTTTGTCCAATCCCTCCATACATCTTTTGAAAAATGCTGTTTTCACCGGTGTCTCTGGCGTAATGTAGAGCACTGGCGTGGTTTAGCGCAGGCTTCAGAGAGGGTATTCTTCACTGCAAATCATTATGCATTGAGGAGGCCATTAGCAAAATGAAGACGAATGGGCGAGAGAGTCAACGTGGTGATAAAGTATTGGAGGACGACAGTTTAATCTAAAGTGTTCCTCTGTGGTCTTTCAACATAGTCACTGTGTCTTGCTACAGTTTGGCCTGTTATGATTAAGCTGTATGTTATGCTAGAAAGTTTGTTCTTTCTCTTAATGCTTATAATCACTGTCTTAGTTTGGCCAACGCAAGCACGGACTCTCACTCATCAGGCAAGTTTTTCAGGAATCAGTTGTTTAATCCAACCATTTACACAGTGACTTGTACATACGCCCCCTTTTGAATCCATTTCCTCTTAATATATATACATGGTGCTGAATATTATACAACACCGTGTAAAAATATATAAAGACATGAACAGAATCAGATTCTTGACAGATTGAGAACAATAAATGTTTTCACTGTAGACATTTTTTTATTTAAACTAAATGTTTTTTTAAATGTCTCTTAGCAGATAGTTCAGATGAAGTTCAGTGGTGTCATTAGATACCTGGTACAAGTCTCGACATGACTGGAAGTTGATTGACACCTGTTTAAGCATTTAATGACACATACACAGGGGTGTGTGCATCAAGGTTCTTTAAATTAATGGAGGGGTTGTCCTATTCATTCCTAACAGACAGTTCTCTCTTTTTCACTGCTGGATATTCTGCTTGCATGTTGAGTTCTTTCTCAAATTTTTGGAATAAAACTATTATTATTATTATAATACAGATAAGAATAGTTATAATTTAACTGTAGTAAAACTATAATGATGATAATAGTAGTAATAATATAATGTGATATAATAACAATATTTTTTGTTGTATTATACAGTTTTTGTATTTTATTATAAAAAATATATACTGTATTATCACTTGATGTGTGTATATATTCTTCATTTTGTTGTATTGTTAAATTTTTATATTTTAATACAAAATTGTTTTTATTATAGAGATATACTGTATAATCACATAATAATGATGATAATATAAATAATAGTAATAATAATAGTCGTAACAATATATTATTATTGTAAATTGTGATAATTATAGTTTATAATTATTTTATTAAATTATTTTTATGATAAAAAATAAAATATACTCTCACCACAACAACCATCAACATCATCATCATAATTGTTTATTGATTTTTATAATATACTTTAATCATATAATAATAGTATTATTAATAATGCAATTATATATATTACTACTGTTTTTTATGTCATAACTTTGTATTGTTATATTGGTCTATATCTTTCATTTAGGGAAGCAGTGGACCCGACTCTCAGGAAGAGAGAGAAGAGGACAAAGACACAGGAACAAATCCGAACCCAGAGACGCAACCAAACACAGTGACCAGCACACTGACCATGCAAGAGTACTTTGCTCAGCGGATGGCCCAGATCAAGAAGGCTCAGGCAGGACGAGACCCAGCCGCATCTTCATCTGAGGTCAGCAGCAATGCACCTTCTCCACTGGCTCCATCTGCCTCCATGGAGGACTCCCCCAACACCAGTGATATGGAACAGTCCAAAAAGAAGAAAAAGAAGAAAAAAGACATGGAGAGCGAAAGAGATGGCGCAGAGGAAGATGCACTGACCTCAGTAACAGGAGAGAGTGTTGAAGAGCCAAATCACTCACAGAAAAAGAAGAAAAAGAACAAGAGGAAACGAGAGGAGCGGGATGAGGATGGGACTGAAGTGTGCAGCGCCCCTACAGTAATGGATGGCACCACTGAAGAAGACTCTCCCACCACAGGAAAGAGGAAGAAGGAGAAAAAAACATCTCTAGAGGTTCATGCAGATGAACTTAAAACAATAGAAATTGAGAATATGGACCATAAAGTTTCAGATAAAAAGAAAAAGAAGAAAAAGAGAGAACGGGACGAAGAGGAAGGAGCAAGTGAGGAAGTGGTGCCCAAAAAGAACAAGAAAAAATGATTTTTTTTTTTTTACAATTAACTGCTGTCGAAACTCTTGACTTTTTGATACCATCATGATTTTTAATATTGAGATCACCAAAATGAATAACAACGAAGCATATGAATTTACATTTATAATTGGTTTGTTTCTCCATATTTAAACTAAATGACAAAACATTAAAATAACAACAACAATCTGTATGTGCAGTTGTGTTTTTCATATGTATTTGTTTTTCTTTGTTGTCAGGTTTCCAGGAAGTAACATTTTTAGATGCATGCTACAATATGGGCCATAGTTATACGTATATGTGTGTGTGTGTGTGTGTGTGTGTGTGTGTACAATATTTGTACAAAATATCTGATATATAGAGAGAGAATAGTGTTGTGCAGCATTCAAAATTCCTGAATGTAGCAAAAAGGATATAGGAATATACTTTTTATTTTCATCATAAAACATGGGTATTTTCAGAAACACTTGTTTTCAGAAATATATGTTAATGTTTCACATTCAGCCTATATAATTTATTAAATTTTATTAATTTATTACCTTAAATTATAAAGTGTTTTTATATGCTCCATAATGGAAAAATGCTTAGCTTTCCAGAAAATATGCCCCCAGAATGTTTAAAAGGTAAATATAAATGTATAATCAATAAATTAAAATGTTTCTACAAATATTTATTTGAAAACAATGTTTTGATCACCATATGGAAAATCTAATTTAAATCGGTGTTAATCTTTTTTCAGAACATTTAACATAATTTAGAAAAAATATGACTAATCAGGTGAGAAATAATGTATTCTACATAACGGGACCAATATTGGCATAATTTGTCAAAATCATGTAATTTTGCTTTGTTATAGTTTATATTGGACTAATAGAACTCTTGTCATTTCTAATATGGCAAATTAAATTCTAATCCAAATTCCAATTTGTCAAAGCAATAGTTCAGATCAGATTTGGAGAAATTTAGCATTGCATCACTTGCTCATAATCCATAATAAAGCTTCCTCCAGTTGTCCTCTCACATCAAAATCCCAGGCCATATGCTTTTTACTTAAAAACCATACTTGTACATATTTTTCTCTTGATTCAGATGAGACAACTTTTTCACTGAAGAAAGAAATATGATGGATAGAGGACTGTATTTTGGACCGAAGGAACCGTTTGAAGTTAAAATTTCTTGATGGTTTGATTGCAAACATGCAGCTTTTCACTTCACAAGATATTAATGGGCTGGAGTTTTATCGTGGAATATTTTTATGTTTTTATCAGCTGTTTGGACTCTCATTCTGACGGCACCCATTCACTACAGAGGATCCGCTGGTGAACAAGTGATGTAATGCTACATTTCTCCAAATCTGTTGTGATGAAGAAACAAACTCATCCACAGCAAATGGCAACTTTTCTTTTTTTGGGTAACTCTTTTTACAGAACTGATCATAAATAATAAATAGTATAACATTGCTACGATATTGATTATTAAACTGCTCACATGCACTCTTTTAAACCCTTGTTTGGTTCAAGTTCAAGTTCAGTTTATTTATAAAGCACATTTAAAAATGACCACAGGCCGACCAAAGTGCTGCGAAGTACACTAATAGCAGCAAAAGAGTTAAAACAGAACACTCTTATAAACTAAAAGCAACAGAGAATAAATCAGTTTTGAGACATGACTTGAACTCAGACAAAGTGGAAGCCGATCTAATATAGAGTGGGAGCTTGTTCCACAGTGTCGGGCCGGCCACTTCAAAGGCTCGGTTACCCCTCAGTTTTAGCTGGATTTTGGGTTTATCTTTGGATCTAAGGCCTCTGGTGGGAGAGTAGGGGTGAAGTAGATCGGACAAGTAAGAAGGTGCTAAGTCATTTAATGATTTATACACCAGTAATACAATTTTAAACTCAATTCTAAAATTAATCGGAAGCCAGTGAAGGGATCTCAGAAGGGGGGTCGCGTGATCTTTAAATGGATTGGAAATGACTGATAATATTCAAAACAAATGTCTCAGTTCATTATTTTGCCATAGTGTAAATCTTTTCCAGTCATGGTCCTGTGGAGTACACTAGGGTATTGTGTTTAAAATAGCCCTTTTATTGTGTCTGTCGCGTATTGTGAAATTTGTGGCAGGTCACCTCAGGCTCCATTACACTAAAAAAATATTTTTTCATATGCATGCAAACTTATGCAATGTTGACAAACCAGCTCTGTGAATATTGCTTGTACAAATTGTGTAAAGGTGTCTGCCCGTTCACTCTTATTGTTCCCTTTAAAACATTTACAGTTAATTACAGAGTTTCCTAAGTGATTATTTAAGATAGTTTCAGTGTCAAAATAGTCATTTGCATTGCAGTTCATGTTCATAATTAGTTTATAGGATAAAAATCTACTTTTTGTTCAGTTTTTCAGTCTTTATTCGCATCTGCCGTCTTCTCTGGAATAAGCTGACCAGCCCAACATGTCAGCAGTGTTTACTGTCAGTATGATTTATACAAATAGACAGTTTTGGGACATGGATCATGGGACTTAAATTTAATCTCACCTATTTTGCACGTATCCTTAATGATGACGCTAAACAAACACGTTTCGCTTTTTTTAAGCGCATTATTAATAGCGCACCGCTCTGCGTGACCCTGCTTTTCTTTGTCACACTAATGTGTAGCTTTAAGGTCTTTTCATAATGATAATGTCGTCCCATTGGGCCCAGCTTATCCAATGTATGTTAAGTATATACGAGTGAAGTCTTGAGCTGGTGTAGAGTAACTGGCAGCAAATACGATGCTTTTGTTTAAAATCCTAATGACCTTGTCGCACGGTCAATATTGATCCTCTTGAAATCTGCAATACCAAAGGATGTCCTGTTTTACTAGATTAATCAAATCCAATGGAACTGACGTTCTCGTGCACTTTGTTCAACTTTGTGGGCATCTGTCATGAATTTATTAAAGAGACAATCAAAGAGTAACATTTTCAAAAATACGCCATTTTGAGAGGATAGCAGAAACCCCAACACAAGATAATCTTGTTTGGAGTCTGAGTGGGCGTATGGAGCAAAAAGAGCGAAAAGGAAACGGACAGCTTATGTTAATCAGAACAATAATTGTAGAATCTGCCACACAGCAACCGTTTCGTTTGTTTATGTGTCATGACTGCCGCTATAAATGGCATCTGCTTCTGAGGTAAATCTGAAAGCATCGTGAAATAATGGAGCTACATCCTACCTATTCCCACGGTCCATATCCAGAATCCCTTTTGAGGTGCTTGTCAAAAGGGGAAGGATGAGAAGATGGAGATTTTTTTTGAGCGTTTCAATCGTTTCTTTTAGAGAAGAAAAAAAATTAAAGGGCAGATTATTTTGTCAAAGCCTTAAATAGGGGGAGTGGGGGAAGATGTGAGATGTGTCACATTTTGCTTATGTTGTCCTCTAGGGATGGAGAAATGAGATTTAAAATATATTATAGCCTGGCCTATAGTAATACAATTTTAAACTCAATTCTAAAATTAATCGGAAGCCAGTGAAGGGATCTCAGAAGGGGGGTCGCGTGATCTTTAAATGGATTGGAAATGACTGATAATATTCAAAACAAATGTCTCAGTTCATTATTTTGCCATAGTGTAAATCTTTTCCAGTCATGGTCCTGTGGAGTACACTAGGGTATTGTGTTTAAAATAGCCCTTTTATTGTGTCTGTCGCGTATTGTGAAATTTGTGGCAGGTCACCTCAGGCTCCATTACACTAAAAAAATATTTTTTCATATGCATGCAAACTTATGCAATGTTGACAAACCAGCTCTGTGAATATTGCTTGTACAAATTGTGTAAAGGTGTCTGCCCGTTCACTCTTATTGTTCCCTTTAAAACATTTACAGTTAATTACAGAGTTTCCTAAGTGATTATTTAAGATAGTTTCAGTGTCAAAATAGTCATTTGCATTGCAGTTCATGTTCATAATTAGTTTATAGGATAAAAATCTACTTTTTGTTCAGTTTTTCAGTCTTTATTCGCATCTGCCGTCTTCTCTGGAATAAGCTGACCAGCCCAACATGTCAGCAGTGTTTACTGTCAGTATGATTTATACAAATAGACAGTTTTGGGACATGGATCATGGGACTTAAATTTAATCTCACCTATTTTGCACGTATCCTTAATGATGACGCTAAACAAACACGTTTCGCTTTTTTTAAGCGCATTATTAATAGCGCACCGCTCTGCGTGACCCTGCTTTTCTTTGTCACACTAATGTGTAGCTTTAAGGTCTTTTCATAATGATAATGTCGTCCCATTGGGCCCAGCTTATCCAATGTATGTTAAGTATATACGAGTGAAGTCTTGAGCTGGTGTAGAGTAACTGGCAGCAAATACGATGCTTTTGTTTAAAATCCTAATGACCTTGTCGCACGGTCAATATTGATCCTCTTGAAATCTGCAATACCAAAGGATGTCCTGTTTTACTAGATTAATCAAATCCAATGGAACTGACGTTCTCGTGCACTTTGTTCAACTTTGTGGGCATCTGTCATGAATTTATTAAAGAGACAATCAAAGAGTAACATTTTCAAAAATACGCCATTTTGAGAGGATAGCAGAAACCCCAACACAAGATAATCTTGTTTGGAGTCTGAGTGGGCGTATGGAGCAAAAAGAGCGAAAAGGAAACGGACAGCTTATGTTAATCAGAACAATAATTGTAGAATCTGCCACACAGCAACCGTTTCGTTTGTTTATGTGTCATGACTGCCGCTATAAATGGCATCTGCTTCTGAGGTAAATCTGAAGGCATCGTCAAACCCGTTTGTGATGATTAAATAATGGAGCTACATCCTACCTATTCCCACGGTCCATGTCCAGAATCCTTTAAGGTGCTTGTCAGAAGGGGAGGGATGAGAAGATGGAGATTGTTTCAATCTTTCTTAGAGAAAAAAATAAATAAAGGGCAGATTATTTTGTCAGAGCCTTAAATAGGTATAGGGGGAGTTGGGGAAGATGTGAGATGTGTCACAGTTTGCTTATGTTGTCCTCTAGGGATGGAGAAATAAGATTTAAAATATATTAAAACAAAGTGGTCCAGTGACACATCTTGCCCTACATAATAGGTACACGGTCAGAAATACCCCTGGCATTTCAAATGTGAGGTCAGACCTGCGGATTTATTTTATTTAATGATATTTTATTCTATTATCTAATTTAGGAGTTTTGTATGAAGTAAGAGTGTTTTCGGATGTATCTTGTATTTTAGATGGGACAAAAAAGTTCTGGAAACACTGAATGTGAAGAAGACACTTCAACTCCAATTCTTGAAATGGTAATTACCTACATCAGAATAGGCTGTTACAGTAGAGCTCAGTTATTTTCAAATTATTTCTGGAAGAGCATTTATGTTATGATATGTGTGATATTGTCCATTGTTTACAGATAAAATTGTATTTTATCTAAATTTAAATTTATAGGTAACAGCCATAGTTGAGAATATTTCAGTTAATTGAATCCAAAGTATTTGCCATAAATGGATAACATACACATTACATAGCAGAAAATGTCCTCATTAAGGTCAAAATGCATTTACATTTCAAACATTGTCTACATAAATGTCTTTTTTAAATTAATGCACAATCATGTTCAAAAATTGATCAGGAAACAGTTATTATTTTAATGCAATGAACCATTTTCAACATTTTGTTATAGTATTTGTAATAGAAAGGGAGTCAAAATGTAAGGGTAATACTTACCCTGAAGTATTTGATACACTTTACCCCATGGCTACCATTTTAAGAAAATGCTTCATTTAATGATTCATTGCTAAAAAGTAATAATTCATGGTCTATTAACATCATTAAAAAAGGATGATGTGACAGTGAAAACTGGAGTAATGACTGCTGAAATTTCAGCTTTGCCATCACAGGAATAAATTACATTTTAAAATATAATCAAATAGAAAACAGTTATTTTAAATAGTAATAATATATCACAATAATACTCTTTTTGCTTCTTTCAAAAACATAAAAAATACATGCATATATATTTATGCATAAGTTTGCTTTGACATAAAATAACCAGGCAGTTGTGCATCATAGGCCCTTTATCAATGTTTGGTCATGTGACAATAATTATGAAGAGTTTTTCCTGAAGCTTCTCAGTCTGCTACAATGTCAAGTTTATCTGTGTTGAAGCAAACACCTATTGAGAAGCAGCAGGTATGCCTGCACTTCCCCAATGTTAATCAAGCGAAACAGGAAATCATGCCCCAAAATGCAGAACCAGAAAGATGTTTATCTAGTGAATGGCACAAATGAGTAAACAGTTCACACGTCCAGTTTGTCACACCCCAACATGTGCAGGTACGACGAGGAGAGCAGGAAGTGTCATTTTCTGTCGTAATGTTTTTGCAATCCGGGGCATCAAGCTCCTCTTCCTGTTCCTTCATTGAATGAATCCCTCATTTTAATGGTGTTCATCCTCTGCTCGTTCACTGAACCTGCCATTCCTTTGAACTCTCAGACATCTTACAGGAAGAAATTCAAAGGTCAGTCATAAAGTGATACTTTTAACATTCATTGAAATCAATAATGGGACCAGTTTCTCAGTTCAGATTCTCTTGAGTATCACTGAATTATTCTGAATTCTTCCTGTATTTGCTGCAGCTTTTATGAACCACCGATACAGCTGTAAACAGGAACTCCACCGTCTGATCGTGACAATAAAGGAGTTCAACCTAAACACCAAAACAAGTTGGTATGGAGCACATGAAGTATACAGGTGGATCTGAACTGTCTGACATGTGAATCATTGTGCAGAACAACTGGTTTTGATGAGTAAGTCATGTAGATGCTGTACGGGGAAAAGTCTTCTTTCATGCCTGATGGAAGTTAAATGACAGTTTCCTCAAGTGAAAATGAATAATGAGAATGTAAAATGCGTCATTAATTCTGCTGAAACGTGGACACATAGAGGCGGCCCCATCAAAATTTTTATATCTGCTATCTAAATACATCATTCCATTTAAAGCAACATTTCAACACCATTGCTATATTTCAAATGAATTACATAATTTTATGAAGAATTGTTTTGTTGCTTTTCCAGCAAACTGGTGTTGGTTACCACACTTTTCCTTCTTTGATGAATGTCTACAAGAACAAAAGCTTTAGTTTGCTCCTAGTTGGGTCAAGTGCTCAGGTAAAAACATTCTTGACAGAATATGTCTTTTTTTTTTAAAACATGACTAAATTTATGTTGCACATCTTTGCCAACCAACCCCAACAATAATTAATTGTTAATTTTTCTAATTTTATATTTGCCAACTAACCCACTCTCTTTTCAGCCTGGCATCATCATTTATTACAGGCTTCCACATTTTAAATCAAAATTCATAAAATGGATAATCCCAGTCCTGGCTTCTGATTGCTATTTTTGATGCATGTTGTGCCTAATAACAGCCTTAAGCCAGTGACACACAGTATGGCCTCTTGTGCCTCGGTTAAATAACTTTTTTTTCCTAATAGCTTTCCTTAAATAGCTTCCTGTATTTTTATAACAACTTCAGCTGAAGGGGTTCGTTTTTGTTTTGGCATTCAAAAATTGAGAAGTTGAACTCATAATGAGAACTTTTAATAATTTATGTCATGATAATATCATTGTGGATCAAGACGACAAACATTCAGATGTCACAGAATGCACTTATGAACTAGACTAGACATAAACGTTCCAAACACAACAAAAAATGTTTTTTTTTTTTTTTGATATGCTACAACTGAAGAATCTTTCCTCATTCTCTAGGTCTTTAGAAAACCTATGGACTAGTGGTTTGATGAATCCAGAAACCAATACTCTGTTCATATGAACTGGTAATGTGACATCAAGGCCTTTTTTAATTTCCAAAGAACCCTATAAAAAACTCAAGAACCCAAAACACAAAAAAGCTGGTCTTCATAAAGAGAAAATGCTTTGCTAAACTTGAGGTGCTGAAAAGAACAGTTGAAGAACCTGCATTAGTAGGCTATATCCAACCAATCTCTTGTAAAATATATATATATATATATATATATATATATATATATATATATATTTTTACTCCTGACCACCCTCGGCCCCGATCAAAACTCCCTCCCAGATCCCCGAGGCTGCTGTCACCCCCTCGATAAAGACGACGAGAGCGCTGTGAGTGGTACTGTCGGCTTCAGTTCTCCCAGCGCAGCTTTACCCGGCGTCAGGGTCTTCAGAGATCCCGCCAGTTCCAACAGCAGCTTCGATACGTACCCATATGGCTTGCCCACGCCACCTGAGATGTCGCCTCTGGACGCTGTGGATCACGAACACCAGTCCTACTACTCATCCTCCAGCTCAGTCTCCACCAGCTCCTGCTCGTCTTCCACCTCTTGCCCGGACGACAGGCATCCCACCCCGGTGCACATGAGCAGTCCACACCCCTACCATCCCGATTACTCCCAGCAGGTACCTTTGCACTGTAGGAGCTCACATTTGGTTCACATCCCGATGTCCCATCAGGGAAGTGGGGCGACCCTTATCACAGCTCCTCCGTTGTCCTATTACAGCCCTTCGTTCCCGCAGGTTCAGATCCATCATGGGCACCAGGGGCACCTGGGCCAGCTTTCGCCTCCTCCAGAGCAGGGGCACCTGGAGGGTCTGGATCAGCTGAGCCAGGCTGAATTGCTGGGTGAGGTGGACCGAGATGAGTTCGACCAGTACCTAAATTCTACAAGTTATCACCCCGAACAGGGTGGGATGACAGTCACGGGACACATCCAGGTAACGCCGGCTTCTGTTTGCTCCAGCAGCGCTACGGAAACCAGTCTCATCTCCGTATTGGCCGATGCCACGGCAGCCTATTACAACAACTACAGCATTTCATAAACACAAAACAGAGGCAGTTGACACAGACAGAGACTGTGGGCTCGACAAGGGTCAGCAATATAACTGGCAGGTGAAAGGAAGGCCGTGGAGGGAGCGGAAAAGAGAAGCTACAGGAAGTCAAAGGACACCTCAGGGATGCATAGATTAAAAAAAAAAGTTCATTCCCATCTTTGCTTCCAAAAGAAGAACGGAAATAAAAGAAAAAAATGGACAAACATAGAAAATGCTCTCATATCTTGCCACAAAAGCATGTACATATGCTATAAAGCTTATTTATGTATCAAATTGCTTTGCATTAAAGCTTATTGTATTGCTTTTTTTCAGTCCAGATATATTCAATTGATTTTTTTCAAACCTCAGTTGTTTTACCTCAAGATTTATTTAAGTGAGGCTGGTCTCTTCCTTTATAGGACATCATTTTGAAGGAAATTCTGCCCTTTCTTTTCCCTTTACATTCATTTCAAAAATGTATTTGTATACTCATAAACAGTTAAAAGAATAATAATAATGAATACTATTGTATGCCAATTTAGGTTTGCCATATTAATTTAATTGAAATAAAATTTTGAGTTTTATACATTTAGCATTCTCACTTTTGATATCCTCACTGATGTCAATAACAAGCGAATGAACGTATCAATATTGATGTTTGTTGAACACCATTCTGTTTGGCCGATTTCATGATAAATTGCATTGTTTATGCCTATTTAAATACAGCACAATGATTATGTCTGTAGGTCTGGATTTAAGAAAAAAATGTTGCAGATGCTCTTCATTTTGTGATATATTAAAAGTGAATGTTCTGAGGCCCCATATGAATTAGACGCCACTAAATAAAAACACAAAATAAATACAGGTGAAAAGACTCTTGATTTTGTAATGACTGGTAGATCAAGATTTTTTGCTCTCTGTTAGTAAGTATAGTAAGTAGTAAGTATAGACTGCTTTATTGAAAGTTAACGGTTTATTTTCAGCTTCATTATAATTATTCAGTTCTTTTTAAGTTTCATTATTATTATTATTATTCGTGAGTATATAATTGCTTTATGGAAGTTAAATTTTTTTGCTTTTTCATTTTTCATAATATATTTTTTTTATCATTAGTGAGTATATAAACTTCTTTACAGGATACTAATAAATGTTATTTTTATCCACAGTTATTTCTTAGTAATATTTAAACTAAACGTTTAATTTTTTTTCCAATATTTGTGGAGTTTTTTTCCATGCATTTATTTTAGTACTGAATGCTGCCGTTTTGAGGTCCCTTCAAGAAGCTGAACTCTAAATTTTTTGTTGTTGTGCGTGGCGAGCCGTCGCCATAACCATAGTGTTGGAAATTGGCGGCATCCACCCTAAGTTCCCAGTTTGCTATCAGCAACACCCATTATGCACTCAGTTTCACTCCTCCGCGGATCAGAGGATTAGTGTAAAACAGGCTCTGCTGTTTTTCTCCCCGCCTCCATCTCCACGGGCCTTTTGTTTCCCCTCGTCTTATTCTGGGTGCGTGTCTTAAGCAGCTCGCTGGAACTCCACTCCTACCCTACCTTCGCCCCCCTCTGCTGCCTGTCCTATCTTGCTGATGCAGACTTTCATAATCTCTGCGAAATAAACAAATACACCTCGTCCCGTCAACTGTTTTACACATTCATCGTTTTTATTTTTCTGCCTCTGTCTCTCTCTCCCTCTCTTTTCAAATTCCTCCTCTTTTCTGATAAAAGGAATCTGAAGTGGGGGAAAGCAGGAGGCGGTGGCAGGCGTTTGACAAATCCTGGAGTCTGGCTTGGTCTTCCTGCGTTTTTTGGGAATGGTTGAGTCGTGTTTCTTGTAAAGAGGATGTGGTGGAGAAGCAGTGTTTCCTGCCTGATAAGAGTAAAGCCTCTCTCCGTCAGGATGTTTGGGCCCTGGCCGGTCCCCGCATTAAAAGAGCCCATGGCGAGGGAAAGGGAACCTGCTGTTCATTTTAGCAGGGAGGAAACATGGCTCTTGTTGATTAACATCTCACACCGTGATTTTTTTTAGGGCTTCGATTTGACCCTCTTCTGGTTTGGCCACACACCGGGCTCAGCACAGATTTTCATAATCTGTCTCTGTCACTGGCTCCAAAGACATGGTTATGATGTGAGTCGAGGCGTCATATTCATTTTTATGAAACATTTCAGTCAAGGGACATTCATCATGTGACTCCAATTTCTTTTCACAAGTGAGGTTGTTATTAACAGCCTGTGAGTGAATGCTTAAGGTTTAGGAGAGAGGGGGTGATTGGGGCCATCAGCCCCAGGCCGAGGCTCGAATTGTGGCTTATGACCCAGACACCTCTAGGTTCAGAGTAAGTGGGCCCATTATAACATTCTCCACTGGCCTTGGGGAAGGGCACTGTGTCATGGTAAACCATACGCACTTCAACATCAATATGTTTACATATATTTTAAAAGTTTGATCTCAATACAATTGGCCTCGTCATTGTGTTGTTGTTTTAAATTACAGAGAAGATGTGCAACATATATTCAATCAATTAAATATTCAATTAAGCATTGCATGTATACTTAGTAGACAGACTGACAGACATATTTAAGCAAAATTTAGACTTTGTTTTTACTAATTGTATTTAAAAATATACTATCCTGCAATAATAAATGATTATATCTCAGTTAGGGTCACAATATCAATCTTGAACAGGCAAATTTATTAAATGCAAGAAAAACACCTTTATTTACATAAACGAGTCCATAGCACAGGGAACTGGACAATCATTTGATCTGTTATTCAGTGATTAAATGAATCGCCCGAAAACTGGTCTAAAATGACTCGACTTTCTACCACTACACAGAGGGAAGCGTTTAGAGCGAACCGCGCCACTAGAATGAATCAAATTTCCAACGCTGCATATCAGAAAAGCACCATTAAGAATGAACGATTCATTCGAATTGCAAAACAGCGGACCGTTTAGGTGAGCACGTGATTCTCTCAGAGATCTAACGTTGCCTTTAGTAGCTCCTTTCTGGAATATATTTCAAAATATTATCCACTATTTTAACTATATTTCACTAGACACATTAACCTAATTAAATTAAGACATAAAGGAGAGTTTAGGGGAGTGTGTTTGATTATTCTTTCAGCTAAATCAGCGATGTTGCATTTAGTCGCGGTATCAGTAGTCTCACGCCCACGGACCGTTGACTGAACGTTTGAGGCATTATATGACACATAAAAAAGGCCTTTATCATACTTCCACGTTCGAAAAACGGAAGTTTCTAATAGTAGCGTAAAAAAACTTCCGCTGCAGCCTGTATCAATGGCTGTGCCCATAGCATGGGATTGTTGTGATTTATGTAAAATTCAGCACAGATACGTCTTCTAAAGACACCAAACTCAGTTTACAATCATTAATTGAGTATTGTGAAACCAAGGAGATGGTTTCATGAAATTCTGACGTATAATTCATGACTTAAAGGGGAGCGCGCAAGCCATACTGTGTGTATGCGCAACACTACTTCAGAGTCTGACCACCTTATTTCATTACAGAACTGCAAGAAAACAAACAGCATATCACGTAAAAGAGCAACAGCGGCAGCGAAAATCGCGTCGATCAGATAATGAAGGATAACATACATGGTAGGCCATCAGTATAAATAAAGAGTTTTAAATATTGACGTTTATTGCGAAGTCCAACTAAATTAGTTTAATTTTCTTAACAAAACTGGCGTCTGTCCATTGACAATAGTGCAGGTGGAAATTCCTTAACGCTACTAATCGGAGCCGGATGTGACGACACACGGACTGTGATAAAGGCCTATTGGAAACACTTCAGGAGTTTCGAAGTCGTTATCGGATTGGTTGAAATAACAGGATTTCCAGGAAACGTTTGTATGCGTTCTTTACCCTTCTGCCTAGAAACAAAGCTGCTGTGACGCCAAACCACCTCATGGAAGAAGAAAGCCGTCATGTTTACAACTGTGACAATGAGCGCTTATCAGGATCAAGTAAACACTGGGTTTTCAAAAGTGTGTGAAATATTTAAAGTTTGCTGCATAGAATCTTTAAAATAAGTCCAACGGTGCGTCAAAAATCACATACTGTCTGAGCAGGTACTACATTTGAATTTGAATTTATTTCACAACCGTTAAAAAAGTATGTTCTATAGTATGAAAATGGGTAGTATGAATGAAATTCGAATGTACTACATCCACCATGTTGTTACTGTCACATGACCTACCAGCGTCAGTTGGCGCTTCACTACCATTCATAAATGCTCTCCCGTGGCCTCATGGGAAAGTAAAGTGTCCATCGAATGTACACTTCAGAATCCGGGCGGAAGAAGTACTTTTCGCCGAATACTATGAATTCGGACGTACTACTCACCTCACATACTGTTTTTCGCCTACTATATAGTAGGTAAGTATGTGATTTCAGATGCAGCGCAAGAGTTTGACACACCTGTCTGTTATTGTGGGGACATTTCCACCCCCCTAAACATGACGCGGCACAAAACAAAACTTGATTGGTCCTTGGCCATTCAAAGCGGCCAAGTTTCCTTTCTACGTGAGACTATGGTTTCAGCTACTCTTTGAATTAAGTAGCTTGATAGTTACTGGTCATATTTCAACATATTATCCATTATTTTAATTATATGTCACTGGACACATTACCTCATTAAAATAAGACTTAAAAAGAGAGTTTAGGATCGTTTAGATGAGTGTGCACGCTTTCACCTAAAACAGTAGCGTTTAGTGGCGCTGATTTAAATAACGGGTTACTTGGCATATTTCAAAATATCATCCATATTTTTATTAATATTTAACTGGATACATTAACCTTATTTGAAATAAACAAAAAAAGAGAGTTTAGGTAAGGATTGTAACACAATAGTGTTTAGTAGTGCTGTTAAGTAGCTGGGCATATTTTAAATATTATATAATATTATAATTATATTTCACTGGACACACTAACCTTAATTAAAATAAGACATAAAAACAGAGTTTAGGTGAGGATCATTTGAGTGTGCTTATTCTTTCAGCTAAAACAGTTGTGTTTAGCACTAGTAAGTAGCTTATTACTGGGCATATTTCAAAATATCATCCAATATTTAAATTATATTTTACTTGACTGGGTTTTCAAAAGTGTGTGAAATATTTAAAGTTTGCTGCATAGAATCTTTAAAATAAGTCCAACGGTGCGTCAAAAATCACATACTGTCTGAGCAGGTACTACATTTGAATTTGAATTTGAATTTATTTCACAACCTTTAAAAAAGTATGTTCTATAGTATGAAAATGGGTAGTATGAATGAAATTCGAATGTACTACATCCACCATGTTGTTACTGTCACATGACCTACCAGCGTCAGTTGGCGCTTCACTACCATTCATAAATGCTCTCCCGTGGCCTCATGGGAAAGTAAAGTGTCCATCGAATGTACACTTCAGAATCCGGGCGGAAGAAGTACTTTTCGCCGAATACTATGAATTCGGACGTACTACTCACCTCACATACTGTTTTTCGCCTACTATATAGTAGGTAAGTATGTGATTTCAGATGCAGCGCAAGAGTTTGACACACCTGTCTGTTATTGTGGGGACATTTCCACCCCCCTAAACATGACGCGGCACAAAACAAAACTTGATTGGTCCTTGGCCATTCAAAGCGGCCAAGTTTCCTTTCTACGTGAGACTATGGTTTCAGCTACTCTTTGAATTAAGTAGCTTGATAGTTACTGGTCATATTTCAACATATTATCCATTATTTTAATTATATGTCACTGGACACATTACCTCATTAAAATAAGACTTAAAAAGAGAGTTTAGGATCGTTTAGATGAGTGTGCACGCTTTCACCTAAAACAGTAGCGTTTAGT